GGAGGTCTGAGGAGCCCCGGAAGGCGGCTGTGGCCCCTGCCACTGCAGTGACTGTGGAAGAGTTATGGACATAGTGATGCTCATGGCGGCGGTTGTAGGCGTCCGTGAACTTGCTCTCGTGGCGGCGAGCCTTGAATGTCGCTGCAGGGTCCTGGCTAAAGAGGTAGGAGGGTGTGGGTTGGCGGCTGGAGTAGCTGGAGTCCTGTGAGAAGGGGGTGCCCAGGCGGGGTGTGAGCGGCGTGCCCTGTCCGTAGGAGTTGGGTGTGTCCAGGCGGCAGCTGGAGTAAGCCGTGTCCTGGGAGAAGGGTGTCCCTCCGCTATTGGGGGTGACGGAAGATGATCCAGAGCCACAGCCTGCAGACAGGCTGCCATCCTTGAGACGTTTCAGGGCATCAGACAGCTAGAGACAGAGAGAGATGTGAGACCTCTGAGGGGGAAACACTCAATGGGACAGGGCTGCTTTCCCTCCTCTCTGTGGTTGCTGGGGAGCTCAGAGCCAAAGTGATTGCTCTCAAGCTGCAGCATGGGGAGAGGAAGAAGCGGAGATCAAAGACGGGTATCAGGATGGTACTAACCTTACTCTAATCTCTCTAATCTTGGGGTAGCTAATTATCTTCAGGGAACCTCGAGGGCTTTTTGATCCCAGTGACAGAGAAAAGAGGGGAACCTGACGTCTTGGTTTAAGCTGAGATTTCCTTCCAGTCACGGACTGTCAGAAATTATAGACCTCCCAAGCAGCGTAGCAGGAAGAACTATGGTCTTGGGAGTGAGGGGGTGGCCAAGGGCCCTACTCCCCCACCTTGGGGTTTTAGGATTTAAATAGGGTGACATAGTAAAAGTGCCTAATGAACAACCCAGCTGAGCAGCAAGCAAGCAAGAACTCTTCCTTCTGGAAAAACTACTCCTGAGGGTGGCCAGGTCTAGGAGCTGGGATAAGAATCTCCCCGACATGAGGGTCGTCCAGTTGTGTGCCCCGGGAGGCAGTGGTTGGGGAAGGCATCAGTCTTGCTCTGAAGAGGGGAACCTTTTGGGGGGCAAGGTGAAGGGGTGCATAGGACACTAGGCTCTGGGAACCCGGCCACAACAATATTTTGAAATCACCATGGAAAAGCAGGCTCCAGGTGGGATCTGGGTCTGTGGGAATCCCAGCCTGTGCCAAGGGAGGGCTGGAGGGAGGGACGAAGTGCAGTTGAAAGGCACAGGGAACAGGACCAGTCCCAGGGGAGCCACATTGAAGGGAATATTGGGAAAACAGGGCTTTTCAACACTGTGCCTCCACTCTGAACTTGTGGTGGGTGTGGCCAGGCTTGGACCCTTTCTAGGCCTATGTCTTCAAAGCTATAGGTGGTGAAAGGGGGGTGGAAGATGGGGTGGGGTGGCATTAGGGAAAACCCACCTGCAGGGTCTCATTCACGAGTGGAGAGACGGCGTCCAGCTCGCCCACCGGGAGGGTCTGGGGTGTGTAGCGGCCCGTGACGAGCAGTTCGTAGAACCGCATGCGGGTTTCCCCTGGGGGAATGCAGGGTGGGGGATCAGTGATGTTCCAAGATGGGGCCCCCTACTGACTCCCACCTGCTTGGCATCCCTGGGGAGTCCTCCAGGCCCAAGACCAGAGGTCTGGGGAAGAAGCTGTGTGGCCTTGACTCCATTCCCAACCCTCCTGGCACCTCAATCTTCCTCTGTTCAATGAAGCTGTGCAGCTGTCAGCATTTTTCTATTCCAAGAATTTAATGTGTTGTGAGGCCTGGGATGCGCCCCCATCCAGAAATGCCACCCCCCAACACAAACCCCCGTCAGCACCTGGGCCACAGCACCCAAGGAAAGAGGCAGGTCTCCCCCTTCCTTTCACCTTCCTGCTTAAAAGTCAGGGGCTAGTAGCAAGGGAAGGGGAAGCCCAGTGACACAGAGGTGACAGTTTGCCAATCTTTCTGGGGCCAGACGCCCAGCAGAGTTGGCCAAACACACTCTAAACCATGTTACAGTGAAACTCACATGCCTCTGGCCAGGCTGGGGAACCAGGGGGGCCCGCAACTCTGCCTACTGCCTGGGGGCTGTCCCACGGAGCCCTACTGTAACCCCCAGCCGAGAGGCCTTTCTAGACCAAGGGAGCCTGTTATCGATATTTATAGAGCCTCCCCGGCAGCTGCTTACATATGCAAAGGAGCCGCATTCCTTGAGCTACACTTTACTGATCTCTTTCTTGAAATACAAACTTTGTTGGCAGTCTCTGAGGGCCTTTTTTTGCAGAAATGAAATTTTGGTAAGAGCTGGCTGCTCCTTAAGCTGTGGGGGTGTGATAGGGGAGGAGTCTCCACGGCTGATGCTCAAGGAGAAATCACTGCAGCCATCGAAGGGGGTACACAGGGTTCGGAGTGTCTGTACCTTCCTTCCCAGAGATGGAGACCAGGGGTAGGGGAGAGGAGGAGTGGGCATGACAGGGGCTGACCAAGGGCTTGTCCCCTGAGGAGACACAAAACTAGGCACAGGCACAGCAAACACATGTGGGTGAGTGAGCCTGTGGGGACCAGCAGGTCCCTTTACAATACCCAGCCTAGTCTGAGACTCAGTCAATACATACTATTGTTACAAGTAAACAAGGAAGGTTTGAGTGTTCCTGTCTTGGGTTTGGTGTGCCCAGTGTCCCCTGAACCCTGGTGCTCACAAACCCCTGGAAGCCACCCACCTAGACCGTCCCAGGACGGGCTTCCACAGGGACCCCAGGGAGCTCTGCAGCCCACACTGCCTGCCTCAGGGCTGGCCCTCAGAGCAGCTGCCACCTCTGTTCTATTCCAGCTCTGTAATCTCCACCTCTGGTGGGGACTTCCCTAGAGGGGCCAACGGCAAACTCTGGGGGAAGCCCTAGAGTCCTGAAGCCCCCCACCCCAGCCGGTATCCAGGAGGAGTCTCAGGGCCCCTGCGTGGGGGAGGGGGGAGGTGTGGCCTCCCCAGCATGGCTTTCCCAGCAGCCGCCCAGCCAGCCGGGATTCCGCGCAGGGGAGGTGCTGCTGTCTCTTTAAGAGAGAGGAGGGAAGACTCGGTGTCAGCCCTCCAACACCCTGAGCTGCCCGCCCAGCTCCTCGTTGGGGAACATTATCAATGAAACAACACTCCTGGCCCAGGCTGACTCCTGCTCCGGGGGAAGGGGCAGCATGGGGGGGCCAGGACACCCTGGGAACTCAGAGGAGGCGCCGTTTAGTTGAGGTACCTTCTTTCTGTGTTTGAAGGCATCTGAGTGGCTCTCCCTCAGCCCCTCACAAACAAACCCTGCTTCCTCCCTGAACACCGGCAGCAGCACTGGGGACTGTCTAAACCGAGGCCCCCAGGGCTCAGAGAGGGGCCCGCCAGGGTGTCAGCGGTGGGGAAGCCTCCGGATGGTCCCCAGGCGTGCAGTGGCCAAGGACCGGCACATTTGGTAAATTACAGCCTGTCTCCTAGCAACAGACAACACATTTAGCTCCACGTGACTCTACCCTCAGGAGGGGGCAAAAAATAAAGAAGGTTGTGGTGGTGGGGAGGCACAATACTGCAGAAGGGGACACTGGGAGGGAAAGGGGTCACCCTGACAGGTCTCCTCGGCTCCTCCCCGTGCGCAGACCTGGCGGCCTCACTCACTCACCCTTGGTGTCCAGCTCCACGTGGATGATATTACCCATGACAGAAGTGCTATGCAAGTGCTGAACGGCCTCCCTGGCGCCCCTGACCGTGGCAAAGACCACCTTGGCGATGCCCAAGTGCTTCTTGGTCTTGGGGTTGTACAAAATCTCCACCTCCTCCACCTCCCCATACTTCTTGCACATGTCCCTCAGGAAGTTTTCGCGGATGTTATCATTCAGCTTGGCAAATGTCACCTGCTTCGGAGGCACTGGGCCCACGTAGAACTCATCGATCTGGCAGGGACGAGGGGGGAGGGAGTTTGGAGGACGTTGAAACCGAAGGGAAAACACGACCTTCCCACTCACCCGCTTGTTGAAAACAATGAAGGATAAAAAGAATTTTTTTTTTTCCGGAAAAAAAAAAATGCACGCGGGCGGGCCCGGGAAGCAGAGGATTAAATCGTTTGGAACGTGGAAGTCCTCTGGGTTCGGAAGGAAAGGGGAAAAAGAAACAGTTTCTCTTTCCCCACCCTCCCATTCTGGCATCCTCTCCCCGCTGCCCGGTCAGGGGCGACCCCCTGAACTAGGAAGTTGTCCCCCTGAAGTCCTGGGGCAGGGAAGGGGGGCGGGTCCCCGGGCAAGCAGGAGCCAGGTGGGGACCCAGACCCCCCAGCTAGGCGGGCGGGACACTGTATCGGCGCCTTGATTACAGTTTCCCCGAGTGTTAATTCTGTTTACAGTAGCCGAGAGGGGACACCCCTCTCGGCAGCACTGTCCCCTCCCCGCCCAAACTTTCCTGCCGGACGGCGGGAACTCGGAATCCGGCCGGGCTCGGTCAGGACTGGCGTTATTTTCGAACTCGGGGAGGGAGGGGGGGTGGGTAGAGAGGGCCCGCGGGACAGAGGGGAGGGGTCCTACCTTGAATTTGGGCACCGACAGCTCCAGCTCCTTGTTTTTGGTCCAGATCCCGACCACCCGGGGATCCTCGACAATTTCCACCGGGCGGTTGCTGGACATCTGTGAGGAGGGATGGGGAAACCCGGAATGGGAGGGCTGGTCCCACTCCCCAGGGTCGAGGGTCAGACCCCCTTCTCCAGGCACTTGTCAAACTCCACGGCCGGGGATCCGGCTGACAGTTGGCCCCGTGGTCGGGAGGGGGATCCCCGGGACGCTCTGGCCCTTCTCCCCGGGCATGGCTGGGGTGGGGGTGGCGAGGAGGCGCGCCGGCTACTCACCGCCAGGCTGAAATGCTGCCCATCGTAGCGGTACAGTTTATGATGCCCCTTTTTCAGAGCCGGGTCAATCATCAACTTGTAACTTCTCCAGTGGTGGTTCCTCCTCTCGCCCGAAGGGCCGGGCTGCGGCGGGGGCTGCTGGTGGTGGTGGTGGGGGGGGTGACTGTTCTCCATGCCGTTAACCCAACCTGAAAACGAGCAAGTTGCTGTCGTCTCCACCGCGCCGGCGGCAGCGGCCGCTCCTCCACACACGCGAAATAATCAAATCATCAAGCCCCTACCCCCTCCCACCTTACCAGCGCGCCCCGAAAGGCGCTGTCTCGCTGGCTCTCCCCAAAATAAGAATGAAAAGCTCGAATAAGCCTTCCAGGAGACTTAAGCGCCCGCCCGCTCGGCCACTGTCTCGGGGCGGCAGCGAGGGGGTCCCGGGGGCTCCCGGTGCGAGCTGGCGGGGCCAGGGGTGCCCGGAGGACGCGGGCTCCGGCCCATGGTGCCG